AGCTGTCAGGACATAACAACCACGAAGATTGACATACCCTGGGTAAGAGGCGATGGAGATAGCGACAGAACAACACTCGCAAACACTTCGTCGTCCATCAAATCGCCAATTCAGATCTGGTCAAGACACACAACGCGTCAATAACACGTGTCCAGATTCGACGAGCATGCCAACCTCACAAGATAAATTTGCATGCTCTTGTATCAACAAATCGACGGCGACAGGACATTAAGGCAGGGTACGATACACGTTGTCCTGCCGTCAAGTTACTACCGTTCCTCAGAGGAACTCGTTGCGTTCACAATACCGTTTCACCTAACTTGACTGTTCTCATCCCCATCATGGCTAACTGTGCGCCAAATGTCCCGTCTGATGATCTCTTTCCCAAATAGAGTCTTCCTCTCGTCATCTACACTGGACCTTGGACAAGTGACTATAGCCAAATACATGGAGGCGTGGGTGAAGCTGAGTACAACCATAATCAAGCTATTGGGTACGATCGATATGGTCCGGTGGGCAATTTGTTGACCCGTCAGAAGGCACAGAGATCAGCAACAATATGTCTGTTGCAGGAAACTTCAATACAAGGGCCGAAGTAAAAGCATCAATAGAACAAAGAAGACATGGAGATCGACAACGGAAAACCTCTCCAAGATCGCGCCACTGACTTACTCTGCAATGTATAGAAATAGTCTTGGAGATACACTCTATGTTTCTTGGACCGTGGTTTCCCGTGTAGATCAAATGTGATTTTGGTACACTTGGTATGATATTCAAGTGCATCTCATATGAGAAGGAACTTGATATCTGTTTTCCAGCAGAACGATGCCACCGGCGACACTCCACCTGATACCACTCTTCATGAAGCGTAAGACCATTATTTCCTGTAGAGACTGCAATTTGTCATTCGGATATAGCTATGAACACACATCTCGATTTTATGCGCAGCCCATAGAGTCCTCAAACTTCTTGAGAAGTCCCAAGTTCATCAGATCCCAGGAGCGAGGTAGGAAATCACCATCGTGTAGATCCAAAGGTTCATACGTGAGTGTCGCTGAGACTTCCATGGGCGATAAAAGAAAATGATGATGAGAGGGAGATTCGAACTCCCGCCCCCGAAGAGACCAGATTGGGAATGAACACCTTAGTCTGGCGCCTTAGACCGCTCGGCCATCTCACCATGTCATGACGACTCCGGCTTAGATTGTGCCTTCGAGTCGCCTTTTCTCAACTTGATTGCGCCAACTTGATCCGGAAGCCATGAAAGTTTTCTCAGCTAGTACAGTAATTCAGACAGTGATCTGGTATCGTGTGATGTGACGTGATTACTCGGCCACGAGCTATTCATACACTGTGACGTAATAGAGACATTACGTCATTTGCGTCTCACCTTGACATAATGCGCAGTATCAGCCTATATGTTTCATCTGCTAATCGTCTCGAACTCAAACCGTCATGGACTCCTTGAAGAAAGCTTTCAATCAATCCTCCAATACTAACGAGCAGAATCCCAGCGGCAATGGAGGCGGCGGGATGATGGACAAGATTAACAGTTCCATGGGTGGTGGGCAATCTAGTGAGAAGAACGAAGGTACGCAGCGTAGAGCTATTTGTAGCGTCTATCTACTGACTGATAGATTGGCAGATCTACTCGACAAAGGCATGATCATCACGGGTGCTCATTAGCATATGCTGATGTCACATCTTCTTCAGGCGTCGATTTTGTCCAGCAACGCATGGGAGGCGGTCAGCAGTCTAACGAATCTGCGTTCGAGCAGGCCAAGGATGAGCATATTTCAGACGCTATCCGCGCGAAGTATAAAAGCACCACGGGGAAGGATTTTCCTATTGCAGACAAATCTTAAATAAAGGCCTCATTACATTAAATCAAGTCCCACAGAATTTGTGTTAATTCTAAACGGGCACAATCGAGCGTGTAACATTCAGAGAGGCCTCCTTTACAGAAAGTCGCATCGTCTCTTCTCGTTCCCATCTCCCTGAAGGAGAATTTTAGTAGGCTTTTCAAAGAGGAAAGATTCAAAACGTAGTATCCGTGAGATCTGGTTCCATTGCATAACTGCATAATTTAAAAAAATCTTTGTTCCATAGACACTCCATACTTTGCTTTATAGACATATATTTAGTCCCGGGCATTGTCTGTACTATCAGTCCTATGCATCGCGACTTACCGTCACTGCTGTGCGCCTTCGTTGTCATTATTCAGCAGTTCGAATTATCTACAATTTCACGTCTTAATCCTGAACAGTGCAAGATGGCTACATTCAAGGGATAAATGGCTCTCGAGGCACTTGACAAGAAAGACGTCCGTAGCATACCTGGAACGCGACCAGTATGTAGTACGGGCCCCGGCTGTTCGTGCGCGGACTTCGCCGGTTACCACCACCACCACCATTGTGGTCACTCCGAAAAGACACTCCTTTTTCTGGAGCACGCGAGTTTTGTCACAGCGGATGCATCCTTTTCTCTCCCAGTGATACGTTTTTGTGACTGAAACACCAGTGGCTGGGTCCACAACATAATAAGCTTGAGCGGGAGCCGGTAGAAAAAGGCTCACGGAAACACACACCTTTCTAGAGATAAAAGATAGCAAGTAGCATGTTTGTACTGATAAAGGAAGAAAAAAGAGTATTATATCTGAGTGAGGTACTGAAGTATACATCATTGTCCAGGTTCTCAGAGCAGGTTCCTTCAAACTCGGTCTGCTGAACAATCTATGGTAGGCACCTTTTCCACTGATGAGTATCTTGTGCTACCGAGTTAAAACATCATGCATCAGCTTTTACACATTTCACCTGCGTATAAACTACAAAATGTAAGTGAAATTTTGTTCAGATATGATGTTAAGATTACTGACTACAGTCCACTCTTTTGGAACCTCGAGTACGTGATCTAGGGCTGCACACCGTAGCCGTAACACGGCTACCGTACCGTACCGTCAAGGTCAAGGACCCAGGTGAACACTTGCACGACACGGTTACAGACGATTCAGCGCTGTACTGAACCGTTGTTTACGGCCGTGCACAATTGTCAAATTACTTTGCCTGAGTGTTGCCCTGACTTACCTGTGTGCCTGGAATTATTGTTCAGCTATGGCTTGGCGACGCATTCCTTAACGCGTCGTGGTTGTTGATTGTAATGAAATCATGAAATTGAGACTACGATCCACAGTTTCCCACGAACTTTAGGTTCCGCAGTTGCTGTTCAATGCATTTCTCCAGGCTGAAATGATACAATCTCTCTCATACGGGCAAACTTGCGCCCAAATACCATTAAAATGTTTATAATTGTCAAGCACGAGCTTCGATTGGCCCATTGAGTCTTAGATATCTCATTATAGTCTTTAATTTTATATTTTGTTCACCGTCCACGGTTTACCACGGTTTACGGCCGTAATCTTGCCGTACCGTACCGTCAACTTATACGGCACGGTTCACGGTTGCCGTAGGTGTTTGACGGCCGTAATCCTACGGCCGTGTGCCGTCAACGGACGGTGTGCACCCCTAACGTGATCGCTTCCCGCCTGAGCCTCCACAAGCTCAAGATGGCAAAGCAACTGGATTCTATGCAAAGGATATATGAACTGCTTTGTGAGTTATACTTGACCGAAGTGAGTGTTATCAATGTCGTGTATCCATCAAGGTTCCATTTCCATTGCGGTCTGGTCATATACGATCCGAAATATCCTAACATTATCTTTAGATTAGCACCAAAGACGGCACCTTACATACACAATCTAGACTGTATTGAGGATATCCTAGTACGGAAATTTGAACCCGAACTTCCGCGTATTTGATGTGAGGATGAGAGGCAATGTTAGCACCTCACCCGATTTCTTTGGATATGCGAGTAGCAATTATATCAAGATGCCCGACGGGTTCACGACGCTAAGGGTGTTAAGTAGTCATCCAGTGTTGCATCATCCTTTTGCGGATGAATAGCAGTACTGTTTGCCTTCGAGTATGACAAAAGTGGCTCCAGTGGGCATTTGGTCCTGCCTGGACGGTGGACCTTGCAAAACACTAGTTCCAAATTCATAAATGCATAAATTTCATCTTTCCTTCTGTTAACAGGGATTGATAACTCATTCGGAACGAACGGAACGGGTATTGTAGATCCCAAATCCTCGGTTTCATCTTGCTTTCTGTTACCAGGAAGTACTAATTCCTTCGATACAAGTATGGAATGGACCTTGTAAGTCCGAAGTCATATGTTCATTGGGGAGCTGGCTCATACTCTGAAGATGTTAACCGAAAATGTAGTTACTTTGTCAGCGTACTGGAAATCTGGAGGTGGATTTTTTGTCCGGGGATGATTAATCAGTTGTTTGTTCCTAACGCGCCTTAAACCCCAGGCTGTGGGAGTTTTACATACTTGCTTCCACGTTTAACGTGTGTCCTCCTGCGGAGTTTTGCCAGCCGACAGCCAAGCCGACAAAAACACAAAAAGGCGATGTATGCCATAGATCGAGACTCCAGAGCGCACAGCGGAATACTATTCACGATAGCTGATAATCATTAGGAGTGACAAGGCAGTCACTCGCGCTTCTTCGCTCAATTGAAGCTTGCCGGCAGTTGAATTTTCTTCGATCATTCATTCCCGCGTAGTTTGAATTTTGCCAAACCTTAACCTGTGTTTCAATCAACAAAGATTGACGTGCACTTTTTGTGGCTTCAAGCCACAAATAGTCCAAATGCGTGTGCTACTACATCTGAGACTGCATTATTTTTCAAACATAGCAAGCTTAACACGCCGGTCAGGTACTGACATAAAGCACACTTAGGTTTCATCTTTCAAGTTCCTTTTGTTCACAGAGAGTCCTAACTCCTTCGGTTCAAATGGGAATGGCCTTGTAAGTCCTAACAGCTAAATCCATAGGTTTCATCTTTCCTTCTGTTCATGGAGAGGACTAACTACTTCAGTACAAATGGAGGGTTCCTTTTCTATTTAATCGATAGAATCTCCACTTTGTGAGCTCACTTGCAAAAACATGCCCACAGACCTCCCAGAATCCGTCATCCTTCCTGATACTCTTTCAGACTGGCCTTGGAAGCGCAATATCAATCCCCACTACCTTCAGGTCAAAGAAGAATCGTCAGCCTGGATCCGCAGCATTCTTAACGATATCACGCCTGGTTTACAACAAATTTTTGATCTCGGCGAATTTGGTGAGTCTTGTCTCTTGCTGCCAGGAATTTGTCAAGAATGTTTTCATCTCAGAGTTGCTCGCTTCTCTTGTATATCCTTTGGAGAATAAAGGTTTGCTCATTCTCTGCTTTATGATCCCATTAAATAACATACATGTGGCATGAAGAGATCCTTCGCTCTGGTTGTGATCTCATGTATTTGTTTGCGTTATATGACGAATACACTGATGGTGCGACACCTCAAGAAGCTCAGCAACTGGCGACAATGGTCATGGATGCCATGCGCAACCCTGACAAGGCCAGACCAGCTGGCGAGTGCGTCATTGTGGAGGTTGCCCGTCAGTAAGTCCCGAACATAATTGATTTCTGCGAAACTTGAGCTTTGTGGTTCTCCCAGATTCTGGAAGTTGTCGTCAAAGAGTGCATCGGAAGGTGCATGCCGTCGGTTCCTCAAGTCATTCGACGAATACACTGCCTCAGTGGTTCAACAAACTAACGATCGTGCTCGAAATTTGATCAGGAATATTGATGATTATTTTACTGTCCGCTTAAACACATCCGGCGTAAAACCTTCGTTGGATGTTATTGAGTTCGGACTCAATCTTCCGGATCAGGTCTTCGAAGATACTGTTATACAGAGACTTATCGATGCCACCAACAAGATGATCAGTCTCACCAATGTATGTGAATTTTACCCCTGTACCAGGCATATTTCACTTTGTACTTGAATCAGGACCTATACTCTTATAATGTTGAACAAGCCCGAGGCGATGCTGAGCACAATATTGTCACTATTTTGATGCATCATAAAGGCGTTGATCTGAATGGAGCGATAAGGTGGATTGAGGATTACTATGCAGAGCTCGTGCAGAATTTTCTGAATGATCTCAGCCACGTCGTATTCTTCGAGAAAGAGGTACAGTCTGAGGTGGAATACTACCTGAATGGATTGGCCAGTTGGATCAGGGGAAACGATTCTTGGAGCTTTGAGAGTCGCAGGTACTTCATTGAAGAT